TTTTTTTTGAGACAGAGTCTTGCTCTGTCGCCCAGACTGGAGTGCAGTGGCATGATCTCAGCTCATTGCAACCTCCACCTCCCTTCAAATGACTTTCCTGCTTTAGTAGCTGGAATTACAGGCGCCCACCACCACACCTGGCTAATTTTTTTGTATTTTTAGTAGAGATAGGGTTTTGCCATGTTGGCAAAATTGTGGGCCTTCTCCTTTCAAAACTGCCTGGGTGTGTCCTCCACGTTCTGCTGCCTCTCGGAGGACTCACCTGTCTCTCCACGGGACCCCAGGGACAGTGCTCCCCAATGAATGTTCCCTGTTCCACCTGCAGTCAGATCCTCTTCAGGGAAGGTGGCTGTTAGAATGCAGATTCCAGGGCCCCACCCCAGATCTACAGAATCAGAATCTGTAGATCCAGGGTTCAAGCTGGTCTTGAACTCCTGACCTCAAACGATCTGCCAGCCTTGGCCTCCCAAAGTGCTAGGATTACAGGCCAGCCACCATGCCTGGCCATATGCACATATTTTTTAAACCTTCAGAAGTAAGAAGCCAAGCCACTGCAAAGAAAGAAATAAAAAAAACCTCTAGATAAAACCACATGGCAACCAACAGCGTGGGTGGATACACTGCTTTGATACCCAAAGATCCTTCCCTGGGTCTGCTCAGAGGCTACACTACAACGCCAAGATAAGCTAAACAGAGGTGGGTGCACAAACCTTACCCACCCGTCTATCCACCCCCTCAATGAGGTAAAGAGCAGGGGGAGGCCTCAGGGGTTGAATCACCGACACGGCTCAAGGAAGCACTGGGCTCAGAACACAGAACTCCTGGCTCCCAATCACACGCACTTCCCAGCCCACCACGGGGAGACCAGCCAGCCTGTTCTTGGCCCTCTCTGAATCTCAAAACTTTTCTCCTCCCACAGCAGGGCCAGCTGGGGTCCTTGTTATGAGGATCCTGCCCTGGGGGCTTCTCTCACATAAGGGGTTTATTCCCAAGGGAAATCTCAGGGCAGATGCCAAGCTTCCCCCAACTGAAAGATTCTGATTCTGTAGATCCAGGGTGGGGCCCTGGAATCTGCATTCTAACAGCCACCTTCCCGGAAGAGGAACTGACTGCAGGTGGAACAGGGAACATACACTGGGGAGCATCGTCCCTGGGGTCCCGTGGAGAGGCGTGTGAGTCCTCTGAGAAGCAGCAGAACGTGGAGGACACATCCAGGCATTTTTGAAAGGAGAAGGCCCACAGTTTCTAATAGTTCTGAAAGAGGTAAAAGATTATCACCACCTCCCCCACTCCAAAAAGGCCTGATTCCCGAAGGGAGAAGCCTGGCTTTCACTCCTTGTTATCTGCTACTTGGGGACAGACACAGCCAGTGCCTGGAGGAGCCGGGCACTGCGACATGCCGTTGTGCCGCTGAGGTGAAGAGAGGAGCCCACAGCTTAGCTTCAGCAAAGCCACTTCTGCTTGCTGCTTCTCAGGGCCAGGTTTCACTCCTCTGTGCCTTCCCTTTCCTAGGGCTGGGGTCCACATGTCCCCAGGGGTCCACTGAGGCTCTTTCTTCTAACAATGGGAGTGGCCCCAACAGAAGCTCATGACCAAACTGGCCCCAAAGCCCAGTCATCAAGCCATTTGTCTCAGACCTGAGCTTTTAGGGCCCTCTTCTGCTGCATGGCTAAGAAAAGGAAGGTATAGGACAGGCCGCTGGGAGATGCGGACGGTTCCCAGGCCAGGGCTAGAAAAACACTTGTGCCTCATAGATGTGTAATTCTGCCAGGGCTAGGAGGATGGGATAGACTCTCCTGACAGGCTGCCCACAGCCATGTCCACACCCACCCTCAGTGCCTTTTGCCACTTGTGATCTTTTCGCTTCCAGAGCTGACTTTGGTATTTGTCCCAAACCAGTTGTAGGTGGTGAATGTGGGACTGGGGACTGCAGACTGATCGGCCCAGCTGTCCTGCCAGGGATGGCTCTGTCTGGCAGACTTCTAGAGGAAAGGAGGTCATGAGAATGGACTGGAGCAATTCTTGGCCATCACATCCGTGGCTCAAATCTGGTGCAGCCGTTCAGTCTTTCTGGGGAAGAAACCAGAGCCTACACACGTGGAGATATTGGCCTGGGCCTCCCCAGCTCCATGCCATGCCTCCACCTCCCAGGCCAACACCTTTCCTGCACTCGCACTTCTCAGCAGGGCATTTGGAGGCACCATCTCTCCAGCCTACTGTCCCTTCCAAATGGTCACCTTATGCCTCCAGAGCAGGCCACAGAGGGAGTCTATATGTTTCCACTTTGTTCTCTTGGCTGAGGATGCAAACCCTTCAGAGTGAAGTCCTAAAAATAGCTGGTATGGTATGGAATGAATGCACGGGGCCAAATACATGCATCCTTACTTGAAGCTGTCAACATGTGAGTGTAGACTCCAGGAAGGCATTCTTCTCTACCTAGAGAATGAAGCATGGTACATTCAATATATGTACCTCAGTGTGTGTGCATATGTTGAGGAGGAGTGGAGAGGACAGGTGGAGAATCACAGTAATTCTTTAATAAGCTAAGATGATGGTGCACCACGATCCCCCCACCTCTATCCCAATTCTCTCCAGAGCTTGTGCCAAGTGACTCTCCCTAGAGATGATAAGAGGAATTTAAAGTATCATAAACAGGCCCGAAGGGAGAGAATGTTCAGATTCAGCTGGATTAGCTCAGAGTTCTTCAGTGAAGTTGAACTTTGTGGACATGCAAGATATGTGTTTTATTGAAAAAGCTCTTTAAAATGTCTGAGTTAATGAAATCTTTGCCTAATGATTAAGAACCTGGTAGGATTTGGTGGCCATTCTCCAAATCAACTCTGGCTAGACGGTTCTAGAAAACTAAGGGGGGCTTAAGGGACGCTTGCAGTCACAGCACTGGACTCTGGAGCTGTGCTGCCCAATACAATAGCTGCTAGATTCATGTGGCCATTTAACAGCAA